GCGACACAGACATCAATTTGAAGTGATGTGTTATAAATACACTGAGTGCATTTGTCAACATATTGTTGACATGAAACACAGACATTTTCAAGTTTTAAGTCACCGGTGCATGAACTCTGTTCCTCTGTTTGTTACTTAAAGAATTGTGTTGAAACCAACAAACCAACATATACTCCTTTGCCTGTATCGGTTCCTAAATTCATTGAAGTTTCTTTGAAACACCACCCACCAATCAGATGATATCCTGAAACACATTTGGTGCATCGGGAGTATACAGACGTTTGACAATTATTTAATGAATTAAGCAAACAATTTCCATCATAATTTTTGATGTAGTAATCTTCACAATCGACACATTTCCCATTTGTGTCACACCCCAAGTTTCCACAATTTAAACATTGAACACAATTCGTGCCATTTTTGAAGTAACCGGGTTTACATGTTGTACATGTTATTGGAGTGCCAGTTTTACACACAGAACATCCGACAATTGCATCTTCACATGCAAGACATTTGTTTTGGGTTTGTGCATATGAACGAAAATACCCACTCAGACAACTATTTGCAGAACAACTACCTGTTGAACACCCTGTGCAATTGTATTCTTTGACGCATGATAAACAATAAAAAAGTGTTGGAGATGCATTAGTAAAGTCTTGGTCTAAACGATAGTTTGTATTACTACAAGAATTACACACACCACGTTCAGTATTACAGACACAATTTGGTTCAGAACATGCTTTGTGTTATTTAAATTAATTTGAATGAATAGAAAACAAACCTGGACATAATCCAGACGCGGTCATTTCTAAATCGTTTCTACATGTCAAACACTTTTCCTTAGTACAGGACCCACACCCATACCAAATATCCAAACAACTGAATATATTTCCATTTTCATCAACAGAGTATCCATCGGCTGTCTGTGTACAATCTGTGGCGTTCCATTCAACACATGAATTATTAGGAGCAAATACCGTCTTGACTTGTTGTGAGATGGATAAAACAAATTAACAACAAACGGATACAAACACCATCACGAAGGACATAACTGCTCAAACATTCTGTACAACTCGTTGTTGTACAACTTTTACAAGAATTAAATATTCCAGAACAACCTTCTTGTTACGCTTTGTCGTCTTAATGGAAGAAACAAACTTGTACACATGCCATTAAGTAAAGATAACCCTGTGCTACAACCAAGGCATCTTGATGAGTCACATGAGATACAATTTGTGTCATACACTGAACAATCTAACAATTAGTAATTATATTAAAACTATACAACAAACTATAACAACGTCCACTATAAATGTACAAATCTCCACAATTGGAACAACCAGATAAATCACAGCTCTGGCAATGAGTACCAAATTTGGATATACATGCTATTTGTCATTTCATGTAATGTAATTTAAGAACAACAAACTTTCACACCCAACTTCAGTTGGGACATATCCATCTCCACACTTTTCACACCCCCTTGTTGAACACTCCAAACACGTTCCAACGGTGTATAGAGTTGTACACTCTTATTGTTAATTATAATTAAACTATAGTATAACAAACTAGTACATGTTTTTTCTAAGTTGAGCATGTAGCCACTCGAACACACTGAACAAGCACTCGCACTGGAACATGTGCCACATCCAGTTCCACATGATTTGCAAGAGAGTACCCCTTTACTATCTGAAACTTGATAAAACCCGTTATTACAAATAACACAAGACTCATACTTTGTTGGTGGGTATGTGTCGTAGTCATACTCAATGGAACAACTTTTACACCCCAAACCCTCACATTCAGTCGTTATTATTGCAGTTTTTGTTGTACTTGTTGTTGTAAAATGTGTTGCTAGTCCCACAGCGACTAAAACAAAAATGATCCAACGAGTCGTCATTTAACATTCTAAGTTCTTTCATAATAGTATTCTTGTTCGAACAAATCAACGATAAATGCTCAAGTTTATTTTTCATATAAAACAGCTTTTCTTTTTCTTTGAAAAACGGGAACATATTCTCTTTTACTCGTCATATTTTTAAATTTTTTAAATTTGTCCCGAAAAATTACTCTTGTCAACTTCACTTCTTTCTAAAATTTAATCACTTTTTTTCCTAAAAGTAGCCTCTTTTGGTTTTAAAACAATTTGTTTTGATATACCGATGAAATGTTATTGCAAAAATC